CCTCCCCGAGAACGTCGGCCCGCCGCTGCTCCACGAGCTCGCCCGGCGGCGTCGCGGCGGCGGCCGGGGGGGGGAGGCCCCCCCCGGAGAACCGCGCGGCGGGCCCAACCCCAGCGGCCGCTGGCCGCGGCCCAGGGGCCAGGGGAGAGCGGAGCCGCGCCCAGAGACCCCCCCAGCGTGGACAAGCCGCCCGACGGCTCGAGATCGGGCTCCGCGCCCTGCAGGGAAGCCAGGGTTGCCAGCATCGGGGGGGGGGGCGGCCCCAAGGGCGGCCATCGGCTCGGGCCACCAGCCGTCGTCGGTGAAGGCGAAGACCTGCGAAGCGCCGCACCAGGGCGCTCGGCGTCTCCATGATCTCGGCAGAGATGAGCTGGCCATCGAGTGGCGCGCCGACGCGGTCCCAGGCAAGCAGCTGCACCATCTCGTAGGCCGCGTCGAGCCACCCAGCTGGTACCACCGCCACCGTCGAGAGGTCGTCGGCGCGCGCCCGCAGCGCCGCCACCATGACCTCGCTCGCAATCAGAATTTCCGAATCGACGCTGTCCTTCGACGTCAGGAACCCGAACCCCCCACCCATGGCACTCGGCAACATGAGCAGGCAGCAGCGTGGAGGCGGCCACGTACTGGGGCGTGGCCTGCTCGAAGCAGGCCTCGGAGTCCTCCACATCCCCGTCGCCAGTGTCGAAAACGTCCCCTCGAGAGCCATCTCCACCAGCGGTGGAGCGGAGGGGGCACAGGCGCGCCGTGGCGGACGGCCTCCTCGATGTAGCCCGAGAGCGCCTCGGAGCAAGCCGCCCGGGGCGCGCGGGGCGGGACGACCTGGGTCGCGCGGGGCGCGGCGACCTTGGACTCCGCCTCGGGTTCCGTCTGCGCCCCCGCGTTGCAGTACGCCTTGCTCGTTCGAGGCAGCTCTGGCCGGCAGGCTGCCAGCCCCGTAGGGGGTCACGTCCGCGTTCACCGTCTGGACTGCAGCGCCAGCCGCAGGGCCGCCAGGGCGGGCCCTCGGCCCAGGCTGGAAGGGGCGCTCGCGCCCTCCGGCCGCAAGAGGTCGCCGCCGCCGCCGCCAGGAGCGAGGCGAGCATCCAAGGGCGGAGCCAGAGGGAGGCTCGGTCGCGCAGGGGCGGCGGGCGAATGAGAGCTTGAAGTCAGAGCCCACGCGCATCGAGGAATCGCTGCCTTCTCTCTATAGAAATAACACTCGTCATATATAGACACGTATATCTATGTATACATATATACACATATATACATATATATATATACGAATACATATGCATATATACACAAATATGTATATGTAATGATACCAGAGAAATCCCAATCAGGTTCTTGTTGGGGCCATGGGGATATAGGACTACAGGGCTATAGGGTTATGGGGCTATAGGGCTATATGGCTATGGGGGTATAGTGCTATAGGGCAATTGTGCCATGGGGCTATAGGTGCTATAGGACTATAGGGTTATAGGGCTATAAGGCTATAGGGCTATTGGGATAGAAGGCCATATGGGCTATATGTGCTATTGGGCTGTTGGGCTATTGGGCTAATGGGCTATAGAGCTATAAAGCTATAGGGCTACATGGCTGTAAACTACCCGGGCACCCCTGGGCACCTCCGGGCACCCCCGAGCACCCGGGCAACCGGGCACCCACGGGCACCCGGGTACCCGGGCACCCGGCCACCGGCCACCGAAATCCCGGGGCACCGGGCAACCACAGGCACCCGGGCACCCGGGCACCCGGCCACCGGCCACCAAATCGGCGCTCCACCTCACCTAACCATATGAGTCCACTAGGACCCCTACAGAGGCAAGCTCTGATTGGGAAAATACATGGATATGGATCCGTGTATGTATCCGTACATATATATATATACGCACACTAATATGTATGTATATATATAAACATACATACAAATAATGTAAATATTTAAACATATATACAAATTATAAAATATACATACAGACATACATACATACATACATACATACATGCATACATGCATACATACATACATACATACATACAAATATACACATCTATACATATATAGACATAGATATGTGTGCCTGTGTGTGCGTGTGCGTGTCTGTGTGTGTGTGTTGTGTCCGGCCCCTCCCCCCCCGGAGCCCCCAAACGAGAGCCTGGGGGAGGGGGAGACATCCTCATCATCAGTATCTTCCTCCTGCTCATTTTCCTCCTCCTGCTCCCAGAGCATAGAGGAGGGGTGACGCAGGAGGCTGGAAGGAAGGAGGGGGAGGAGGAGCAGGGGAAGGAGGAGGAGGAGGAGGAGAGGGAGGGTGAGGACAGACACAGCAAAAGGAATGATGAGCAACAACATGCACGCCGCACCGCGCCCAGGGCTCAAAGAACACCTCGCGCCCCCCATCCATCGAAGGCTGCTGCCGTTGACTATGGAAAATCCGCTGCCAGGGACGGTCGCCTTTTCTTCGAACGAAGCAACGACCGACATATTGCTGTAACCCGCCACACAAAATCGATGCGTATTCGACTAAGTGAAAGATGTTCCGTCCCGCTCACATAAATCCTGTTGTATTCCACCACAGGGACATCTATGATGCGCCAGGTTCGTTTTGACGGCAGAATACCGAAATCGGAATGCAAAAGAATTCCTTTGCTGCAAAAGGATCACCGTTGTGGCGGAATAACAAAGGATTCCACGTGTGGCAGAATACTAAAAAGGATCCAGCTTGTGGCGGAATACTAAGGGATGAGTCCTTATGTGGTGGCTTTGTTTTGTGGCGGCATACGAACAGAATCCTCATATGGTCGGTTGCCCAAGGATTCCTTATGCGGCGGAATGCAAAAGGAATCCAAACAGTTGCCGAACACAAAAAGGTTCGCCTTGCGGCGGAATACACCAGAATCCCCGTTGTGGCAAAAACAAGAAAGGTTTCCATTTCTTGCGGAATACAAAAGGACTACTTTTGTGGTGGAGTACGAAAGGGGTTCTGTGTGGCAGTATACAAGAGAAACCCTTATGTGGTTGATTACCTCGGGATTCCTTATACGGCGGAATCCAACAGGAGTCCGTGTGTGGCCGAAAACAAAAGAAACCCCCGCTGTGGCAGAACACACATAGATTCGATATGTGGCAGAATGCAGCAGCATTCTTTTTGTGACGAAATACAAAAAGAACCCTTCTGTGGCGGATGACAAAAGGATGTGTTTTGCGGCGTATTACAAAAAGAATCCCCCTTGTGGCAGAATGCAAAAGGTTTCCTTTGTGGCGGAAAACAACAGGATCCTGGCAGAATGCTAAGCGATTGTAGTTTGCATGTCGCTTGCACACAACCGCCCACGGGTCCGCACGCCAGTCTCCCGGCGCCCGGCCCCGCTTCCGGCGCCAGGCCTTCTTTGGATTGCGAGCATGTGACGCACGCGGAATTATTGCAAAAGTTGAAAGTTTCTTTCTAACGCAGCATCAATTGTTATCCACCTTCGTGAGGAGGGGGTGAGACAGGAAGGACGAGGAGCATGAGCATAGTGAAGAGGATCAGGAGGGAGACGAAGGCGATGACTGAACCACATTCAGTGATTATTTCAGGGTAAACCGAAGTGCGGGTCCACGCTGCACGGTGCCAGCACTTGGGACGCTTCACGCGACATGCATGGGCACACGAAGCACCGTGGCCGAAGTTGAGCAGACAGGTATATCAAAAAGCCACAGAAGCACGGTGCCGCAGACCTCCGTCGGCGCTGTGCTGGTGCCACGGTACCAATCAGACTGGGCACCAAATGAGCCCTTGAAAATACTCACGCGCAATACGAAGCATCATTCTATGCCTCATTGAATTACGATACTGCTAACGAGTAAGTAAGAAGGGAAGGGACAGGATCTGGACCCCGCCCCAGAGAACGCTGCACGGGGCCCAGGACCTGCGAGGAGAACAAACTGACTACCTGCAGTAGCAGACCACCCCCCAACTTGAGGCCTCGCGCGGCAACTTGAGACCCGATTCACGTCGGATACACATCGGATTTACGTCGGGTTCACGTCGGACTACGTCGGAATCACGTCGGATTCACGTCGGACTGACTCCAGAGCATCGCCGCACGAGGGTAAGTCCATAGCTAACAGAGCTGACGTGTGCACTAAATAAAACTACTACTTCGCGCCGCGCGAGGCCTCCAGGATGTTCCTCATAAGCGAAGGCTGCGCCACCGCGTGCAAGCATTATGTTTGTGTAGTCCTTCTTCTAACGAGGGTCTGGTCTTGTACAGACTGGACACAGAGGCCAACGTCAGCGAGAGGAGCACAAGCACGATCCTGAGTGGCGTCGTAGGTCGAGAGCTCCCGCAGGAGAAGGCTACATCAAAGTGCCAGCACACTACGGGCACCCAGCGGAGAATTGTCTCGACGCGGAGAATTGTCTCCACGCGGAGAATTGTGCATTGCCGTGCTAGCACATTCACTTCCAACTTCTGACTACGTATATGCGAACGAGGGTGTCTGAGCCCGAGCAACTCTGGGTATGGATGGCTACGTATGAGGGGAAGGGCGGGGGCATGTCAAAGAAAGAGCTTGTGACGACAGAGTTGGGAAAGTTGCTGTCTTTGGGATCCGAGGTGTATGGAAGATGGGGCAACAACCACTATGGCTGGTACCTGCACTAGCTTCTGCATTCACGCGTGGCATGCATGCACGAGTCCGTAAGGGTGCCGCCCTAGGCCCAATGCACCGCTGGTGGGGGGTGCTGGGTATTGCATTGCCTACACGACGAGGCTGCCTGCAGACGCCGTTGGAGGCGGCGCATGCGTTGGCTGACCTTGAAGTCGTGCCAATTCTTGCTCTCTCCCTCTCCTCCTCCTCCTCCTCCTCCTCCTCCTCCTCCTCCTCCTCCTCCTCCTCCTCCTCCTCCTCCTCCTCCTCCTCCCTCCTCTCCTCCTCCTCCTCCTCCTCCCTCCTCTTCCTCCTCCTCCTCCTCCTCCTCCTCCTCCTCCTCCTCCCTCCTCCTCCTCCTCCTCCTCCTCCTCCTCCTCCTCCTCCTCCGGTAGGCCTGCTCGGCGCGCGGCGTCACAGTTTCACCTCACATTCATTGCGCCGCCGTTCGCGAGTAGAAAAACACATATATCTATAAAAAGGGGCAGACCTGGGTGGCGCCCTGGACCTCGCCTGGACGCCACGAGGCCTGCCGCCGCGTGACCCTGGGCGGGCCTGGGGGGAGGGAAGGGGGACCGCGGGCCTGCGCATGCTCACGGAGCACCCAATATCCCAAACAAACAAAAAAAAAACAGACCTGGGTGGCGCCCTGTACCTCGCCTGGACGCCACGAGGCCTGCCGCCACGAGACCCTGGGCGGGCCTCAGTGGGGGGAGGTGAACGGCGGGCCTGTGCAGTTTCACGGAGCACCCGATGTCCCAAACAAACTAAAAAAAAAAAAAAAAAACATGGGTGGCGCCCTGGACCTCGCACGCCACGAGGCCTGCCGCCACGAGACCCTGGGCGGGCCTGAGTGGGGGGGGGAGAACGGCGGGCCTGTGCATGTTCACGGAGCACCCGATATCCCAAACAAACAAAAAAAACAGACCTGGGTGGCGCCCTGTACCTCGCCTGGACGCCACGAGGCCTGCCGCCACGAGACCCTGGGCGGGCCTGAGTGGGGGGGGGGGGGGGGGAACGGCGGGCCTGTGCATGTTCACGGAGCACCCGATATCCCAAACAAGCAAAAAAAGCAGACCTGGGTGGCGCCCTGGACCTCGCCTGGACGCCACGAGGCCTGCCGCCACGAGACCCTGGGCGGGCCTGAGTGGGGGGGAGAGCAGCGGGCCTGCGGATGCGCTTGAGACTTCCTCGCAAGTCACTCACAGACGAGACTCCCGCCTGATACTTCCCCCGCATTCAGGCCTAAGGAGCCCAAAAGTGACGACAGTTACAGTTTCGAGGGTGACCCGTTCGGATTACAAACATAAAGTGTGGGCCCCATAGAGAGAGGGCTCCCGCCTGAGACTTCCTCGCAGATTACTCACAGACGAGGCTCCCGCCTGATACTTCCCCCGTATTCAAGCCTCAGGAGCCCAAAAGTGACGAAAGCTGACGGGTTCGAGGGGGACCTGCTCGGATGAAAAACATGAAGTGTGGGCCCCATAGGGAGAGGGCTCCCGCCTGAGACTTCCTGGCAGATCACTCACAGACGAGGCTCCCGCTCGATACTTCCCCCATATTCAAGCCTGAGGAGCCCAAAAGTGACGACAACTACAGGTTCGAGGATGACCCGTTCGGATTGAAAACATAGAATGCGGGCCGCATAGAGGGGGAGGGCTCCCGCCTGAGACTTCCTCGCGATTCACTCACAGACGAGCCTCCCGCCTGATACTTCCCCCATATTCAAGCCTAAGGAGCCCAAAAGTGACGACAGTTATAGGTTCGAGGATGACCCGTCTGGATTAAGAACATGATGTGCGGGCCCCATAGGGAGAGGGCTCCCGCCTGAGACTTCCTCGCAATTCACTCACGGACGAGCCTCCCGCCCGATACTTCCCCCCTTTTCAAGCTAGCGAATGAGTGGGTGAGTGAGTGAGTCAGTGAATGACTGAATGAGTCAAGATGATGATGATGATGATGATGATGATGATGATGATGATGATGATGATGATGATGATGATGATGATGATGATGATGATGGTGATAATTGATGCGGATGATGCAGATGATGAGTGAGTGGGTGAATGAGTGTGTGATCGAGTGATGGTCCAGGTGGTCAAAATAGTCTGTGTGTAAGTTAATGTGAGTGTGAATGGGTGTGTGAGTGATGCCGATGATGAGTGTGATGATGATGATGCTGAGTGAAGGAGTGAGTGGGAGTGAAGGAGTGAGTGAGTGAGTGAGTGATGGTGATGGTGATGATGCTACTGATGTTGATGATGATGTGGTGATGATGCTACTGATGTTGATGGTGATGAGTGTGTGAGAGGAGAGGGTGTGTTCCTGTGTGTTCCTGCGCGGGATGCCCAGAGAAAACAAGAACCCTGGGTGGCGCCAGGACCTCACCTGGACGCCACGAGGCCTGCCGCCGCGTGACCCTGGGCGGGCCTGGGGGGAGGGAAGGGGGACCGCGGGCATGCGCGTGCTTACGGAGCACCCGATATCCCGAACAAACAAAAAAAGGCAGACCTGGGTGGCGCCCTGGACCTCGCCTGGACGCCACGAGGCCTGCCGCCACGAGACCCTGGGCGGGCCTGAGTGGAGGGGGGAGAACGGCGGGCCTGCGCATGGTCACGGAGCAGCCGATGTCCGTCGCGGGGCGGGGCGGCGGGCGCAGGGGCGGCCCAGTGGGAGTCTATACCAAGGCCCAGCCCCCATGTCAGCCTACCAGGATGAGCCTTCAGGACATGAGGATGAAAAACACAACACCCCGACGAGGCTTTTGCAGCGCCTCAGGGAGTAGGCAGTGAGAACACGTCCGGCATCGCAGGCGAGAGCTGCTGCGGAAGAGAGCCCTGTCTGCAAGTGCCGGCGAGCCAGTCGCAAGAGGAATCCGGACATCGCGCTCCGACGACGTCAGGGCCGTGTCGTGCGCGGGCAGAGCGGCCCTACCCCCCCGGCATCCAGCGCCACCAGACGTCTCCGTCAACCTTCTCGGGCTCGCCGGGCCTCGGACAGAGGGCTCTCCCCCGCGCCGTGCCCCCCGTGGAGAGCAGGCTGGCTCTTGCCGGGCGGCCCGCGCTCTGCCGCCAGGTCGTGGTGGTCGGACCGCGCGGCGCCGTCTGCGATGCTGGGCGGGCCGGGGGTGCGCAGGGCCCTCGTCGTCTCCACCGGGGCGTCGTCGCTGGCAGACCGGCCGAGCACCTCTGGCCGGGCGATCGGGCGCTTCTCGGGGTCCTGCTCTGGGAGCGCGGCCGAGGGCCCGAAGTGCCGCGCCAGGGCCTCGTGGCCCTGGAAGCGGGCGTAGCTCACAGCGGGCGGCCACGGGGGGGGCTTGCCGCAAACGTCCCGCCAGAGCCCGCTCGCCACCGCTCCACAGAAGATGTGCACGTCGTGCGGCGACGCGAAGTTCACGAAAGCGATACCTGCCGAACGACTGCGGTCTTCCTTCCATGGCATGTGGAAGAAAGAATACTGGTCACCGAGGCCGCACCTGTCCAATAGCATCAGGAGGCCTCTTCTCGCGCGGGGTCCGTGCAGGTGCCTGACCACGACGGTCGTCCGCTTGTCCTCGCCACGTAGGATGGCCCCTGGAGTGATGTCGAGCTCCTGGAGGCCCTCGCTGCTGCCCTTGGTCCGCGCCAGGAGGTGCTTGGCCACGTCGCCGGCCCGCTCTCCAGCACTGCCCGGGACGCTGCCATTGTCTTGAGGGCCAGCCTTGGAGGGTGCAGCCATCGGGCGTCCTGTGCCGCGCAGCGCCCGCGGCTGCGCTAGAACAGGTTCGGGGAGGCCCCGCGTCAGCATCGCGGGTGGCACAGGAGCGCTTCCGGACACCGGGGTGGCGCAGCCACCCGCCGCCACCAAGAGCGCGTGCGCAGAGCGAAGGTCGTAGAACTCGACGGCCGCCAGCGCCTCGTGCATGTCGATGTGGGCCACCTCCCCGAAATCTTGGAGTCTTGTCGCGTAGCCTGTCTTCGCAAAGAAGCCCGACAGGTCGACCAAGACGATGCGGCAGTCCTGTGGCGCTGATTGGAAAGGTTCAGCGCGGGACGCCATGTGCAGCAGCACGCTCTGGGCGCACCGCACGTCGAAGTACGTCGCCAGTACGGTCCCGAGCGTGCCGCCGATGGCGTCGAGGCGGGCGACTTCTCCAAACTTCGACAGCTCCTGCACGAGCTTCGCCCCCACGACCGCCCACTCGCCGACGGCGTCGGAGACGCAGACCGTGTTCGACATGCCCGCGGTCTGGCTGCACGTCACGTGCGGCGGCGAGTCCGAGCTAACCGCTGCCGCCTCCACGAGCCCCGCTGCGGGGCCGCTCGGGACGCCCACGGGCGGAGCGGCCTCGCGAGCCCGAGCTGCGCCGCCGCCGCCGCCCACGCCGGGGGCCCGAGCCGTGCTGCGGCAGCTGCCCGCGCCCTCGACGGAGGCCGGAGCCAGGCTGCCGCTCGCGCCCCCGGCAGGGGCCCGGGCCGCGCCGCCGCTCCGCTGGGCCAGGCGCGCGGCGCGGGCGCGGACGATCACGCGGCGCGAGGGGCGGTGCCGCCGCTGCGGGCTCGGGCTGCTCGGCGGTCGCCCCTGCGGCTCGGAGGTCGGGCCGCGGGCCCCCGACGGCGGCGCGGGCCCGCCCAGGCCCGTGCGGCCTGCGCTCAGGGGCAGCCGGGCCCCTGGCCGAGAGTCCGCCATTGCCACTCTCGGCTCTGCCGCGCGCGCCCAGGGCCACAGCCGATGAAAGTGGCGCGCACGACGGGATCGCTTGAGCCAGTGCGGCTCGTGAGTCAGTGCGGCTCCCAAGCCTCGTTTTGAATCCGCAGCGCCGCGCGTCTCCCTCCTGCTTTTCCTGCTCCTCCTCCTCTCCTCTTGTTTCTGCTTCTCCTCCTCTTCCTGGTCCTGGTCCTGCTCCTCAGTTTCCTCCTCCTCCTCTTCTTACTATTCGTTGTCTTCTTCTTATTCATCTTCCTCTTTGTACTCGTGATACTACTACTACTACTACTACTACTACTACTACTACTACTACTACTACTACTACTACTACTACTACTACTACTACTACTACTACTACTACTACTACTATTACTACTACTACTACTACTACTACTACTACTACTACTACTACTACTACTACTACTACTACTACTACTACTACTACTACTACTACTACTACTACTACTACTACTACTACTACTACTACTACTACTAGGGCTGACCGGGGGATGGTGGCCGGGCAGTTCCTCCGTGAGACGACTTAAGGGTGGTGATGGAGGTTTCGCGTTTCCAACGGGTTTAACAAAAAAATGAGATTGTGGGTGTGGGTGTGGATGTGGGTGTGGGTGTGGGTGTTTCATGTATGTATGATGATGTATGATGATGTATGGTGATGTATGATGATGTATAATGATGTATGATGATGTATGATGATGTATGATGGTGTAAGATGATGAAATATTTTGTCTGGTGGTGTACGATGGTGTATGATGATGTATGATGGTGTATGATGATTGATGTATGGTCTTTGATTATGTAAGATGTATTGTGCTTCACAATGTATAATGGTTGATGTTTGATGTTTGATATAGAATGATGTTTGATGTTTGAGTTTTTATGTTAAATGCTGATGGATGTTGTTTGGTGTTTGATGTATGGTGTTTGATGATTTGTGGTGGTTGCTGTATCATGTTTGATGTTTGATGCGTGATGATGTTTGATGTATGTTTGATGATGTTTGATATTTGATGTTTGTTGATGTTTGATGTTTGATGGTTGATTTTGTTGATGTTTGATCATGGTTGGTGTTTTATGTTTAATGATGGTTGGTGTTTGATGTGCAATGTTTGATGTTTGATGGTTGATGATGTATGATGTTTGATGATTGATGATGGTTGATGTTGATGATGTATGATGTGTGATGTTTGATGTATGATGTTTGATGATGTATGATGTTTGCTGTGTGTTGTATGATGTTTGATGATGTGAGATGTATTACGATGCATGAGGTTTGATGGTGTATGATAATGATTGTTGTGCGGTGTTTGATGGCCTAGTATGATGTATGGTGTTTGATGATGTATTATGATGTGTTGTGTTTGGTGGCGTATTATGATGTATGGTGTATGGTGCACGATAATGTATGATGATGTAGTATGGTGTCTGGTGTGTGATGGTGTATTATGATGTATGATGTGTGATGCTTGATGATGTGTGATGATGTATGATGTATGATGTTTGATGATGTATGTTTGATGACGTATGATGTTTGGTGGCGTATGATCATCAACATCATCAATCTCATCATTATCATCATCGTCATCATTGCCATCATCACCATCACCATCATCATCGTCGGTGTGAATTGTCGTCGTCGCCACCGTCCACCGCCATCATCACCATCATCATCCGCATTATCACCATGATCATCATCCACATCATCACAACCACTGCCACCGCCACCATCATCGTCGTCATCACCACCAGCGGCAACATCGGCATCACAGTCCTCATCATCATCAGCAACACCATCAGCATCAGCATCACCACCAGCATGATCATCATCATCATGATCATCATCACCATCATCATCATCATCGTCGTCGTCATCGTCGTCCTCGTCATCGTCATCCTCACCATCCTCAGCATGATCATCCCCATCATCATACTCACCATCAGCATCAGAAGCATCATCATCATCATCATCAGCAGCAGCATCAGCATCAGCATCAGCATCAACATCATCATCATGAGGCCCAAGAGGCCCCCCAGGAGGCCCCAAAGGCCTCCCAGGAGGCCAAAGAGGCCCCTCAGGATGCCCAAGGGGCCTCTCGGGAGGCTCAAGAAACCTCACGGGAGGCCCAAGAGGCCTCTGAGGAGGCCCCAGAAGCTTTTCAGGAGGCCCCAGAGGCCTCTCAGGAGGCCTAAGAGGCTTCTCTGGAGGCCCAAGAGGCCTCTCAGGATGCCTAAGAGGCTTCTCAGGAGGCCAAAGAGGCCTCCCAGGAGGCCCAAGAGGCCTCACAGGAGGCCCAAGAAGCCTCTCAGGAAGCCCAAGAGGCCTCTCAGGAGGCCCAAGAGGCGTCCCAGGAGGCCCAATAAGTCTCTCAGGAGGCCCAAGAGGCCTTCCAGAAGGCCCAAGAGGCCTCCCAGGAGGCCCAAGAGGCACCCCAGGAGGCCCCCCACGAGCCCCAAGAGGCGCCTCAGGAGGCCCAAGAGGCCTCTGAGGAGGCCCCAGAGGCCTCCCAGGAGGCCCAAGAGGCATCTCAGGAGGCCCAAGGGGCTTCCCAGAAGCCCCAAGAGGCCTCTCAGAAAGCTAAAGAGTCCTCCCAGGAGGCCCAATAGGCCTCCCAGGAGGCCCAATAGGCCTCCCAGGAAGCCCCAGAGGCCTCCCAGGAGGCCCAAGAGGCATCCCAGGAGGCCCAAGAGGCCCCCCAGGAGGCCCAAGAGGTTTCTCAGGAGGCCCCAGAGGCCTCTCGAGAGGCCCAAGAGGCCTCGCAGGAGGCCCAAGGAGCCTCCCAGGATACCCAAGAGGCCCCTGAGGAAGCCTAAGGCGGCTTCCCAGGAGGCCCCGCACGCCCCGCGCGCCTCGCGCGCCACGCGCACCGCGCGCGCCACGCGCGTCCGCGCGCCCCACGCGCCGCGCGCGCCACGCGCGCCGCGCGCGCCACGCGCGCCCCGCGCGCCTCGCGAGCCCCGCGCGCGCCGCGCGCCCCGCGCGTCCCGCGTGCCCCGCGCGCCCCGTGCGCCCCGCGCGCCCCCCCCGCGCCCCCGCGCCCCCCCGCGCCCCCCCCCACGCGCCCCGGCCACCATCCCCTGGTTAGCCCTACTACTACTACTACTACGACTACGACTATGACTACTATTAATAGTATTATACTTATATGTGTTATTATTATTAGTACCAGTATTATGAATCATGTTATTATGAATAAGATCATTAGTGTTATTATTGTTGTTATTATTAGTATTACTATTATTATTGATATTATTGTTAGTATTAATACTATTATGTTTATTACTACTACTGCTACTACTACTACTACTACTACTACTACTACTACTACTACTACTACTATTAGTAGTACTATTATTAGTAGTATTAGTATTAGTATTATTATTATTAGTAGTAGTAGTAGTTGTAGTAGTAGTAGTAGTAGTAGTACTAGTAGTAGTAGTAATAGTAGTAGTACTAGTAGTAGTACTAGTAGTAGTAGTAGTAGTAGTAGTAGTAGTAGTAGTAGTAGTAGTAGTAGTAGTAGTAGTATCAGTAGTAGTAGTAGTAGTAGTAGTAATATTATTAGTGTCATTATTATTAGTATGATAATGATCTTTACCAGTATCATTAGTATTAGCATTATTACTATTAGTATTATTTGGTTTAAGAATTATTACGAATACTATTAGTAGTATGACCATTGCGACTATTATTAGTATTAGTATTATCAGTAGTAGTAGTGATATTATCCTTTATATTTATACCACTATTATGATTGTTCTTACTAATATGATTAGTATTAGTAGTAGTCTGAATACTAGTATTGGTATTATTGGTTTTATCACTGTGAGTATGATTGCTGTTATCCGTGTGATCATTACTACGGTTAAGTGTTGTTTCTTGTGGTTGATATTATCTTCAGTAATATCAGCCATGTTAGTATCAGTAATACGACCATAATTATAATAGTACGATATTGTTAGTAGTACTATTAGTATTACTGCTAGTGCCATTATTACTATCGTTATTAATATCAGTATTATTACTACTATTACTATCGTTACTATTATTGATACTACTATTATTTGCGTGGTTACGACCATCAGTTACACTAATCGAACATAGTGTTAGTCCTGTTACTTGACTTATTCGTATCACGATCCTGCTCAGTGCCATTGGTATTACAATTCAGTATCCTCCTCCTCCTCGTCATCATCATCATCCTCCTCATGATCAGCATCAGCATTATCATCATCAGCATCACCGGCATCACAATCACCATCATCATCAAAAAACAGCACATCATCGTCATTAGCATCGACATCATCATCAGCCGCAGTGTCATCATCAGCATCATCAGCATCCTCATTAACATCATCATAATCACCTGCATCATCAGCATCGCCATCATCATGATCATCATCAGCAGCATCATCACCATCATCAGTATCATCATCAGCATCATAAGAATCCTCATCCTCATCGAGGAGTCCTCATGCTCATCGTCATCATCATCGTCAGCATCATCATCCTCATCCTCATCCTCATCCTCTTCCTCTTCCTCCTCCTCCTACTCCTCCTCCTCCTCTTTGCTCGTGATGTGTGGGCCCTGGTGCGACGAGCTGAGTCTGATCTCCTGGAGCAGTGGCTGTTCTCGGGTCCGTCCGCTACTCCCCACATGAGGCTTCACATCAGGGCCCTCTTCATGGACCCCGACCTGCGCTCCCAGTATGTTGCCCTGGACCCAGGTGTCCTTCGTGCAGCTGCCCGTACGGTTGCAGTACCACCTCCTGCTGGTCTTTACGGACCTACTCCTGAAGACCCTGAAGCTCCCGAGGTCCCCCCTCCTCCTGAGGCGTCCTGGCAGTGCGAGCTGAGGGGCCACGAGGGGCACGTCTGCGGCAAGGTCTTCGGCTCCCGAAAGGCGCTCTTGGCACACCAGAGGTTCTCGAAAGATGGAGGGCACGCGTGCAGGTCCGTGGTCCACTCCATTGTCGTGACGAACGAATGTATCTTCTGTGGTTTGGGTTTCCGCACAAGGCGGATTGCACAGGAGCACGCGGTAACAGCTGT